GGCGTCGACGTGGGGCATGTTTTTTCCGGAGCGGTGCTCGATTTCGTAATTAAACTCCTCGAGCAGGAGCGCCCATCGCGCCACGCGGACGCACAAATCTTTCTTCGCCATGGTCAGGGTAAACGCGCGACAATCGGTGACGATCTTGAACGCGATGCCGAGCAAATAAACTCTAAACCTTCGCAATGCCCTAACTATCGCGAGAACCTCAAGCTCGTAGCTTGTATAATTTTCTTCGGCGGGAGTCGTCTTTCCACTCGCATAATAGATGGGGTGCCACTTACTATCGTCGCTACTCCGTTACAACAAAATCGCGCCATAACCGTGCATTGATGCATCCGTATGCAATTCTGTCTCGGCGCCGGCCCTATACAAATTTAATACCGGCTTGTTGATTAACATGAGCTTCAGTTGGTCGAACGCGTCTTTTTCCTTCGTACCGAATCTAAACTTTGCATCGGCCCTCAACAAATTCGACAATGGCCGCGCAATCATCGAGTATCCCGGCATGAATTTTCTGAAATACCCCGTCAATCCGAGAAAAGACTGAATCTGTCGCACGCTCGTGGGTATCGGAAATTTTTTAACAGCTTCCGTCTTTCGCTCTGATGGCCTAACGCATCCGTTCTCGATCACGTGCCCTAAATATTCTACCTTCGTTTGTAATAAACTACACTTCTTCCAGTTTAATAAACTACACTTTTTCCAGTTAATGATGAAACCATTTCGACTCGCGACTTCTAACACTCGCGCAAGATATTTCAATCCCGTTTCAAATCTACTGAGGGTATTATTAAATCATCTATATAAACTAATAGCACATGCTCGCGAATAAGATCTTGGAAAACAGCGTTTATAAATTTTTGAAAAATTGTGGGTGAGTTACAGAGTCCAAACGGCACTCTGAGAAACTCATAATGCCCATCGGGAACTATAAATGCGGTATATTTTCGACTTGACTCTTCTATTGGTACGTGAAAAAATCCGTTCTTTAGGTCTAACGTGCTGGACACCCTTGCACTTTGCAGTGCATCTAGCTGATCTTCTATTAAAGGCAGCGGATACCGATCTTTGACTATCTTTTTATTTAATAACCGAAAATCTATGCAGAGTCTGTTCGATCCGTCTTTCTTCTTTACTAAAACAACTGGGCTTGCGTACTCGGAAACGGATGGCTGTACAATGCCGTCATTGAGCCATTCTTCTATTTGCTTATTGATTATGTCTTTTTCGACCGCCGATAATCGTCTCGCGCGCTGATAAACGGGTTCCTCGTCTTTTAAAACTAAACTCATCTTAACATTCGCGTCTTGGGTTCGTCTTGGTTTATAATTATCTATTAAGTCTCGTATCGCCTGTTTATGTACATCGTCTTGAATGTTTGCTAAATCTACCCTATCGGTTCCCTGTTCGCAAACTACGTCGATCTGACAAATTTCGGCAAAACTGCAATCTTTTTCACTCAACGGCTTAATCGTAGCTTTTCTACGCTTAACATTTAATTCAATCTCGTCAAGAAAGTCTTTTCCGATGAACAATGAGTATCGCGTCAATACATCCGAAACGACATTAATAGATATCGCATACGAATGATCATCGACCGTTAGCTTCGCGTGAAACCTACCCATCGTTGCATTTTCCTCGGTGTCGATCCCTCGGAACGGCGTGATATCATTCTCGAGTCGCGGTGAACCGATTTTCGTATACGCGTTCGCGCTCATGATCGTGATATCGCTTCCCGTATCTAATAATCGCTTGGATTGGAACATCGTTAATCAAAACGTATTTAACATGTTTATTTAGTCTCGACTGGGACACTGCGCAACTATTTTTTGAAACGTCGTTCTTTTTTATACAATTACGCGCGATATGACCGTGTTCATTACATTTAAAACATTTCAGGCCCTTACCTTTCGTCGGACAATCTGCGCTTACGTGATCTTTCATGCCGCAATTAAAACAACGTTTCGACATACCTTGATCCCTCTTAACATACGAGTCTTTCTTTTCGCTTCTTTCACCTGTATCGTCCTTAGAGTTCTTATCTATCTTACGCCGTGCCACACTTCTGTCTCCGTTCTTCGAGCCGGTCGATGTCCCTGCGAAACCCTTGTCCTGTAGGGAGATCTCCTCAAACGCCTGCAGGATCTGCTCCTTCGTCGTGAATGCCTGAACTCGTGCCATGTTGCGTAGGTTCCGGTCTGGGATGCCATCGATTATGTAGCCCATGATCTCGTCGTCGTTGATAGCGATTCGATTCCCCATTATTACCTTCTCGTGAACGTAGCTGTGGAATGTTTCGTCTTCTTTCCACACTCTGTCTTCGAATTGTCGTCTTAGAGCGATCTTATTTGGGCGGTGGAAAAACATACCCCGGAGCCCTGCGAATAACTGGTCCGACGTCATATGCATATACTCTGGTTTCGAATGGAAATGAAACCATTCCCACGCCTTTTCCTTCAGCCGCTTGCCGACCACTATCTTCGTCATATCGTCCTCGAGCTTATAGGTCATCTTCAGGAACTTCACCTGTTTCTCCCACGTTTCATACATCTCCAAATTCCCGGAGAAATTACCCAGAAGATCTGCCACTGCCTCTACGTTCACTTTCTGCGGTATAGGGAGCGATTGCATTGATTGACTTGACGTCGATTGTCCGTCGCTTTGAAGATCGGCACTTCGGCGCAACATTTGGATTTCGCGACGGGCTAACTCAAGTTCTTTCTCGAGCACTTCTTTCTCCCGTCGGCAGACCTCGATTTCTCTTCGTCGCAGCATTTCGTCTTTATCGCTGCTCGCAAGTTCGTCGTCACTGTCGTGCGGTGATTTTTCGCCACATGCACCATCACTGTTTATGCACATTGTCACCCACGCACCACTGGGATCGTCGAGATTCAAGCGACTTATCAACTCGTTTTTGCTACCTTTGGTAGCCAGTCCTTTTGCCCTTAGAATCTCATTCAACTCAACGAGCGTGAACGATTTCGGATCTTTAGCACCTTCCATTTGGTATCACCTTTGTCGTCGCACGTGTCTTTAACTCAAAAGTCTTTAACTTGAAATCGCCTTTAAATCGTCTTTAAATAGTCTTTAAATCGTCTTTAAATCGTCTTGAAGTCGTCTTGAAATCGTCTTGAAGTCGTCTTAAAATCGTCTTAAAATCGTCTTTCACTAATAACTCACACTCGATCCCGGCTGAGCCCCCAAAATTTATAGGATCATTGAACGTGGTTATAGTAAAAATAAATTTATTAAAGTAAATTTAAATATAAAGTGTGCTCGTCGTATGCATGTTCGTCTTAGCGCGTCGTAGCTTCAACTCTCCTCGCGAACGCCCGATCGCCGCAAATATACAGGGTTTGTCCAATAAGTATCCGGATTGATGTCCTAAAATGAAGTGCGTTGAAGATATACGTACATTGAGTTAATAATCTTCAAAGTATGCCCCTCCTGCATCAATACACCGTTGCCACGTGTCACCCCTATGCCGATTCCAAGAACTTGACCTCGGAATCGGCTACAAAGTTTCACCGAGACCGGCGAAACTTCAAATCCTACAATATAATTGTCCAAAAGTGCTGCATCCGCCTCCCCAGTCGCCAGACCTTAACCCCATCAAGAATTTGTGGGACGAACTAGAACGAAGAATTAGAAAAACTGCAATACACTCAAAAAATGAATTAAAAATTCAACTACAAGAAGAATGGAACAATATTACTAGTGAATATTTAGAAAAAATTATTTCAAACATGGCTAAGCGTTTAAGACAAGTTATTCATCATAAGGGATATCCAACAAAATACTGAATTTTTGTTTAATCTTAGGTAAAATGTATATACATAATGTAGATTTTTGTAGTGTCCGAATATTGTTGTAACGTGTAAAATGGACATCGTTTTGTTTATCCTTCATTCCGTAATAATATGTTGCAATAGCAAAATAATTTTTTATGTTTCTGTTGTTTATAATAAATGAGTTAACATGGTAAAAAAATTGCAAATAAATAGTTTAATAATTGAGGAAGATATAAAACATTATATTTAAAAGTATTATAGTGTCCGAATATTAAAGTGAGTAACTGTATGTATATGTATATAATAATAATAAAAAAAACCGAAGTAAAGGTAGGTAACATAATAAGTATTATATTTTGAAAATACATATCATACATATTTTTTTCCAAATAAGATACCTAACTACTTTTTTGAAGTCAATAAGAATTGTCAAAAAAGAAACAAAGTACTATTGTTGGATATTACCGCAAAAGTGTTTTTATTAAAATATATATTTAATAAATTACCTATTTTATTATTTATCTATTTTATAGCTTTTATTATTTAAAAATTAGCGTGAAGCTAATAATTATGTTAGAATATAAATTGTATTTTGTACTTTTACACTGATCGCTGGATACAATCTTCTCGCCTTTTTATAGCTCTCACGCACACTCCTTCCACTTCCCGTTTCGCACATCACTCATCCAATCATACATACCTTACCTATTGCTCGTTGTCATTCGCTCTCATTTATTCGCGCGCAATTCTTCTCGCATTCAAACATCTTTCACGCTATAATTTGTTTTTCATTTTTGTGTGTCAAACAATCGCCTATTGT